GCCTTGTGGGGCTGCTGGAGGCACATGGATTATTCCTGAGAACAAGCCAAGGAGGCAGGATGTGACGACGTGCGAGGAGGCTTTAGCGCTCACCTTCCACACAGCTGGAGCTTTAGCCACGACCAGCTACACTAGAGGCCTCGAGACCCACCGCAGGACTGACTGCCCGGGGTCCCTAGGTGTCACCACACTAGTCCTTGAATTGGGTGCAAAGATGGCCCTACGGGAGAGCTGGGACATTTGTGCTTTGTAGGAGAGGGCACTGTGTGGGGAGTCCAAGGCCTGAGTTCTGGGCCCCTCTCCGCTCCGTGGGAGATGCTGGAGAAAGGCATGTTTGCAGAGCCCCTGCTCTGGCCCAGGTGATAAGTGTTTAGTAAATTATCTCGTCCATCGCTCCGGTGGCTCTGTGAGGGGAAATTATCTATGGTCACTGTCTGAGTTATCTACGGCTACTACATCAGAAATACCACAAATGGGGGGCTTTAATAAACAGTTTAGGAGGCTGGCAGTGTGAATTCCGGGTGCCGGCTCTAGGGGAACGCTTTCTGTCTCTGGGGGCTCTGGGGGAAGGCCCTTGTCCCCGAGCCTCCACTCCGGGGTGCTCTTCCTGTGGCTTGGCATCTCTCTTCCTTCACCTCTGCTTCAGTCACTTCCTTGTTTAATCTCTTTTATATCTCAAAAGAGATTGATTTAAGACATAACCCACATTAACCCTAAGGAGCTCTGGTGGTGCAGTGGTTAAGACAGTCAACTACTAACCAAAAGGTCACTGGTTCGAAACCACCAGACACTCTGAAGAAATAAAATGAGGTAGTCTGCTTCTGCAAAAATTGACAACCTTGGAAACCCAGTGGGGGTCACTATGAGTCAGAATCTACTCAATGGCAGTAGGTTTGGTTTTTGAGTACATGATCCGACTCAACAGCAGCAGTGAGTTCAGTTTTTTTTTTTCTTTTTCCCTTAATCCTGTCTCATTCACAAAGACAATGCATTCCCAAATGGGATTATAACCACAGACATAGAGGTAAGGATTTATAACACATATGCTTGGCCATAACACCTGCAATCAGCATATTTCTTTTTCCCAGTTGGCATGTGGATTTGGTTTCATTTTTAATTCAGGCTTCAGAAAATGAAACCAAAGTCGTAGTTGTACAACTGTCACTGCTGGTGGCGAGAACTCACGTGCTGCTGGCAACTGGCACCTGACTGGCCCCTGCTTTCTCAGCCATGACCTGGTCAGGGTGGGGGCAGGGCCCAGGCCGGTGTCCAGGCAGAGCAAGAGAGGCTCAGAAGAGCCCAAAGCCACAAAGGGAGAGGCGGGAACCTGGATGCCGGGCCTGGAGGGGCACAGGCAGACCTGCCCCCTCCTGGCCAACGCTGGCTACAGATGGAGCTCTGTGAATTCGTGGGTCTTTGCCCCTTTTGAACTATGTGTGTGTGTGTGTGGCAGACAGCCTCAGTTTCTCTGTCTGTAAAATGAGTAGACTGGATTGCTGTGCCAACCCAATGTCCTAACAACTGTAAAGCACTCAGCACACAGCTGGTTTAAGCCAAGGCATCACACACCAAACAAAACCAAACTCAAAGCCATCGAGTCGGATCCGACTCATAGTGACCCCTCCTTGGGTTTCCAAGGTGGTATCACTATGAAGTAGATTGCCTGATCTTTCTTCTAAGGAGTGGCTGGTGGGTTTGAACTGCCAGCCTTCTGGTTAGCAGTCAAGTGCCTTAGGCACTACGCTACCTGAGCTCCTAAATGAAGAAGGAAGGAGGGGGCTGGGCAAGAGTGTGACAGCAAGGGGGAGGCTTACAGGAGGTCCCAGTCCGAGGGAGAGGGGAAGGCTCTCCCAAGCAGCCCTGCAGGCTGCCAATGTGGGGTAGGGTGCACATAGGCATCAGCTATTTATAGGCGTTCCCTCTGCCCAGAGGCTTGCCAAGGAGACATGTTGGCTGGGGCACAAGGTCTGCAGGAGCCAGCTCAGCCTGGCTGCCTCCTAGGAGCCTTGACCATCCATCCCAGCTCGAGAGAAGAGCGGGTGCTGCTCCCAGCCACCCGCCAACATCTAGAGGTCTGGCTGACCCGGGAGAAACTCTCTTCCTCCTCTGCCCAGGCCTTCTCCGGCCTGCACCCCTTCTAAAACGGGCACAAAGAATGAAGCCACCTGTCTCCAGCAGCCACTGCCACACCCACAGGCACTTTCAGAGGAGAACAACAATAGCAAACAGCCAATGACTGCTCACTGTACCCCAGGGACTGTGCTAAGCACCAGACCCATCGCCATCCACACACTCCCACAACCACACCAGGGGGCAGCTCTCACCATCCTCATCGCTCAGATGAAGAAACTGAGGCAGAAAGATTAATTGCAAGCCTGTTATGGACTGAACATGTCCTCCCAGAAAACTTCTCTGCCTGTCTTTATAATCCCATTTGGGAATGAATTGTCTTTGTTATGTTAATGAGACAGGATTAGCACAGGGTGTGTCTGGAGCCAGTCTCCTTTGGGACATAAAGAGACTAAAGTGAGCTAGCTTGCAGAGATGGGGTGAGACCGAAGCCAAACCGGGAGATCTCCAAGGGACCCAGAAGCAGAAGCGCTTTCCCCACAGCCGACAGAGGGAGAAAGCCTCCCCCTAAACCAGTGCCCTGAGTTTCGGACTTCTAGCCTCCTAAACTGAGGAAATCACTTTGTTGAAGCCACTCACTTGCATCTCTGTTACAGCAACAAGACAGAACTAAGACAATGGCCAAAAGCACGTGGCTAGAAAGTTGAAGAGTTGGGACTAGAGTGTAAGTGGCTGCGAAGTCCAGCTCTTAACCACTATTTTATATTTTATCTACCTGCGCTCACAAGTCTGCACAGACACACACACGCTCGACACCCCAGGCCCACCTGACACAGTCACCCATAAATCCTGGGCCTCCTTTGACCCTTTCTCTCCAGCCTCCAACACGTAACACATGCTGTCCCTCCAGTAAGTCACACATTCCCCAGAGGACGGCATCTCTCGTTCCTGGCGGGGTCCCCAGCGGGTGGTCAATGAACACTTCCGGAAAGACAACCTGGGCGCGGATCTGCGGCTTCTCCCCTTCCTCCTCACACACATATGCGCAAGAACGCGCGCACACACACACGTATGACCCAAAGGAGCCACAGCCATGACCGCCACCAGCACCCACCACACAGGAATTCAGGGACCCCATGGGACCCTAAGCCAGGCTGGTTCTGGGCCACTCCCTCTCGCCAGGCAGGAAAGGGGACCTGGTCTCTCAGGCTTTGCCGGGGAGAAGCCGGCAGCTGCAGCGCAGAGTCGTCTGTAGAGGGCAGTGTGTGCCCGCCACAGCTAGCCACGCGCCCCTAGTCAGGCGCGTCTTCTGTGACCCCGCCAGACTTGGGGGCTGCCCCCCTCCCGGCCCCAACTCTCATTTGTTTGCTTTGCTTCTTTCAAAAGTACATCTATCAGCCAGGCGTCTACTCCGTAGCCCGGCGCCTCTGCCTGGGATCCCCAGCCCCTGATCAACAGACAGGATCACACACAAACGTACACTGACAGCCCTACCCCAGGGAGGCGGGGCTTCTCCGTCAGCGCTCCGACCACCGCGCGCCCGCCAGCACGCACCACAGGGTGGAAGGGGGCCGTAGATGCCCCGTGGAGCACAAGAGGGGATTCTACAAAGCAGTGGTGCCGGAGGGCGGCCAGCGTGGTCTCGGACCCTCGGCTATTGGAGGTGGGAAGAGGTGGAATTCGGAACAGCCAAAAAGCTCGCAGTCGGGCTATGGAATCAGCACATCTGAGAATGAACCATCTTTTCCCAACAGGCTTCAAAGTCTTGTAGTTTGCTGATCCTCTTCCCAAAATACCACCGGGGCGGCTCCGGGGCTCAGCCACAGCAATCACGGCGCCTACCCGGGCCTCAGTTTCTCCAGCAGCCGCGCAGTGCGAGCGCACGGAGCGCGGGCCGAGGCCGCGGCGGACTTGGCCCCACCCGGTTTCCGAGGAACTCGCGCCCGCCGCCGAAGGGTTCCTCCAAAGCCTGTGGTCACGCCGCCGCTTCCTGGGAAGCCCAAACCAAGACTGGGGCGGCAGCCGGCCGGGAGGGGTGCGGGGGCGGCC